TGTATCCAGTACCTCAATGTATGATCAAAGGGGTGATTGTGATGTGTGAACATTTCGTGGCTGCTAGAAACTCCTTCTTCTTCATCTTCGTCCTGTTCTTCTGCCTGGTCTTCCTAGTCTTCTTCTGGTTCCTCAATTGATTTCGGTGTCTATTTAGTTTTTAGTTTTATTTTTACTCGTATTTACTCGTAGTTACCATTAAATTTAGCTGCTTAATTTGTATGCCTATTTATGACTTTTGTCTCGCAACTATAGTTGAACAAATATGTATATGCACTTGTATATAATCATCGTAGAAAACATAAAATGTACGCGTATATAAATTAATGTTTATTCTTTTTATTCTCTTGACGACTCTGTCTCCTTGTGTCTCTGTCTTGCGCTACATATCTCATATCTCACATCGCACATCTCTTTCTCACAACAACAACAACATCAAAACGTAATCGAATAAAGTCTTCATTTTTAAAGAAATAAATAATAACAGGGTGGAGAATATTTGATAAAAGAATCTTTCTGCCTAATAGAAATCTCTTCTTTCTTCGTTCTCCTTTTTGCACATAAAGAAACAATAATAAATATAATCCAATCGACAGCTACCCTTTGGCATGACTGTACTTCCGTTTCCTCCCCGTTTTGCTTCTCTATATTTAGTTGGCTTTTCTCTTGCGCTTTTCCTTTGCTTTTGCTTCAATCTTTCGACATTTTTGCCTGCTTTTTCGACTCCGATTTCGCCTTCGACTTCAATTGTTTTTTTTTTAATGCTAAGTTTTTTACGATTTTTTACACACAAATGTTTTTCAGTTTTTGTTTTTGTTTTTGTTTTACGTGGCTTAAATATTAAACATTAAGATTTTATTTTTGTTGTTGTTTTAATCGTATATACTTATATATTTCTTGCTGCGTTTTCAATGGTTTGTAATCTTCTTCTTTTTTATATTTATTATTTTAGAATCCGAGTAGTTGTTGTTGGTGTGGTTCCTTTTGAGAGTTGTGGATGGTGGATGTTGGATGGATATCTATTCATGGGCTCGCGATGATGGGCTAGTGCGCTTACTTTTAGGTGCCACTGTCACACATGGTCGTGATGTGTTCTACTGGGGGGAGGGACAGGGGTTTGTTGCACGTCGTCGCTGATTGTACAACACTTATATCCATGTTTGTATGTATGTATGGGTATGCATGTATTATATATATATAAATATCTAGAGACATGTCTGCACGAGACCTACACACACATATCGAGAGCTACACACACATGAACGCAAGCGGGCCGCGCGGGGCACAAGAATGTCGAGGCGCTGACCAACACTGCCTGTCGTTGCGCAACACTGAATCTCGATTTCACTCACTAATCACTTGACCGACTGCCTGTCTCTCGGGTTCCCTTCTGTGTCTGCTGTCAGGGGGAGACTTGTTCCCGCTCTCTCGTAGCGCTCGCATTATTCCTCGTAATTATTTTCTTTATATAAATATTACACTTTTTATTAATCATATGATTTGCTTGCTGCCTCTGCTTCTTCTCATTATTCTCTTTGCTTCTTTCTTCTTTTTTTTTTCAAGCACACTGAGTGCGCCATAATTTTTTTGTGTGTTAAATTTAACCTTTTGTATTTAATTTAAAAATTATTAAAGCGTTTTTTTACTCTGAAGTTGTTTTTGTTGTTGTTGTTGTGGTGGTGACTGACTGACCGAATGATCGATAAATCGATTGTTTGAACGATTAATCGACGGATGGATCTATGGATCGGGGGTTCATCGAGATGAAATATGAAATTCTTTAGCCCTTGTTTTTGGGATGATGATTTTTCTCCTGGATTTCCTCTTTGTTTCTTTGTTTGTTTGTTCTCCTTTGTTTTCTGTTTTCTGCTTTCTCTGTGTTTTCTTCTCGATTCTTCTTCATCTTCATCTTCCTCTTCTTCTTCTTCTTCGGTTATAAGACTAAACTACGTTACAACTAAATATCTGTAGTCTCGTGGTTATATACGCTATATGTATGTAAATTAAACAATAGCGGTAGCGGATTGTGTTTTTAAAAAGTTTTTATTTTACTTCGAACTTCACTGATATAGATTTAAGTAGAGGGTCACAAAGGAATTCCGGGCCAAGGGATTGCGCGATCTTAATATTTAGCTAGACTTTGCGGTGTCGCTGCTGGATCAAGACTGATTTGAACTTTCTGATCTTTGCATCGTTGATCCCTTTCGGGAATCGTTTTTCTATAAACATTTCAATTGATTTCGCCATCCCGAGTATTAGATTTCGTCATCCAAAGAGAGAACTGTAAAAGGCCTAAAGTGCAGGATCTGCAGAAAGCCGGGAGTGAGATTGTTTATGAGAAGCCGGGTGTGGGCAAACATTGGTTTTCCATTTAGGCGAGTGTCAAAGATTGGGATTGCGGCGGGGGCGCTTGAGATTGTACATCTTAGAAATCAATTAGGCGGAGGCCCAAGATTGAAATTGTTTTCGTTTTGGAAAGCCAAAGATTGTTTACAACTCGTATAAGAGCTCAATGGAATTGGGTACGTTAACTCCCCCCATTCTTAAATGTTTCGTCCCGATACATTTTGAAGTTCTGATAGAGCTCTAATTTCTTCTGACAGTATTTGAATGTTGCTTTCCACTATTTCTTCTGACGGTATTCTTATTGATTTAATAAGTACAAATTTGGTTAATTTATAGCCGAAGTAAAATAACATTAACAATATCAAAATGATTAAAAATAATGTTGTTAATGGTAAGGCCGTATTACCTAATGTTATAAGGGGATTTAAAATATTAACATTATCAAAAGAAAATTGCTTATCATTCGATTGTATATAATCGACTAATTCAAAATCGCTATATCTATGATGCGATATATATTTTAGAATTTTACCCTTATCATTTATGTGGGTTATATTATTTATTACAATTGTGTTGTTGAATATAAGGAGATACGATCCTAACAAAGTAGTATTGTCTACGATATTTTTGCCTGAAACTAATATGGCACCATCCTGAATGATGTCTATTTCTTTGTTTTTTTCCCTTTTTTTAGTGCAGTTGGCTTTAAAGCCATTAAGTAAATTGGTGAAACAGGTACTCTTTAAATTTATTTGTGCGTAATTGTTAAAAGTTTCACTTTTAAAATTATTCATTAAATAGTATTTCTCCTTACATTCACAAACTTTTTCACTTATAACTAACATTCCATCATTTTGTGAGATGGCTCTTGCATGGTAAAACTTGCAAATATCTTTAATTTGAGGATATTTTATGTAAATGATTATTAAATCTGCATTTCGAATTATTTTAACCGTTGCAATGTCCAACAGATCAGACAGTTCAACATTATGTTTTTCATGCTTATAAATGTCCTCTATTTCGTTTTTATTTAAAATTTTTGTATTGAAAATGTTTACTTTTAAGAGGGTTATGGTATCAACTAAATTTAGTAGGTCAAAAGTTATTAATTTTAAACGATGCTTTCTCAGTATCGTTTCTTCATTGAAGATGACATTCTTTAATGAATTTGATAGCAATTCAATTTCTTTGAAAAATTTGGAATTTATTACAAATTGTTTATTATTATTTTCAGTTAATTCATTTACTTTATTTTGTATTTTCAAAAAGTCGTCATGATCAGGGCTGCCTGCTATCCATTTCCAAATGGTACCTAATTCATTTATTCCCCTTTCTTTCCGTTTTGGAACTAATTCTGAAATCATTAATTTTAATAGACTTAAGTCCATTGATATTTCCCACTCATCGTCTGAATTAATTGATTTGTTGACATATTTGGATTCTTTATCAATTATCTCTCTATAAAAACTCAAATTAGTAATATGGAAAAGTTCAGCGTATGTTTCATAAGTGTAAACGTCTCTGTCGTCTTTGAGCAATAGATAGTCACTATGCGTATAGTCAATTACTTCCGCAGTCGTCAATATAACAAAAGTCAGTATTAGTATATTCGCATACATTTTGAAATATCCGGTAGGGGTCGTCCTTCTTAGTTTGGCAGATCTTCGAACGGGTCTTCCTTCTTAAATTTCTTTGCTCAGCTGGGTCTTCTGGGGGTCTTCCTTCTTTGGCTTCGCTGATCGTTTCACTTTCTTTGTATTTTGGTTTTGTCGGTTTTGTTGGTTTTGTTTTTTAAAAACTTTGGATTTCTTTGGTTTTTTTTGTATTTACGAATTGCCTTGATTAGCTTTTTGTTTTATTTGTATTTTGCGTTGTATTTGTATTTGTATTGGTATTTGTATTTGTATTTGTATTTGTATTTGTATTTGTTTTTGCACACCCTAAGCTCCGGTTTGTTTCCTTTTTATCTCACTTTTTTTTATCTATATCACACAGTCACTCCGCGTTTTTAATTTTGAAGGATTTATTCCATTAATTAATTGTCCTTCGGGTTTCGGCACGACGCAACACTTTTATCATTCGGTGCTTTTTAGACAACGTCGCCCCACGTTGGGCGCCAATTAAACAATAGCGGTAGCGGATTGTGTTTTTAAAAAGTTTTTATTTTACTTCGAACTTCACTGATATAGATTTAAGTAGAGGGTCACAAAGGAATTCCGGGCCAAGGGATTGCGCGATCTTAATATTTAGCTAGACTTTGCGGTGTCGCTGCTGGATCAAGACTGATTTGAACTTTCTGATCTTTGCATCGTTGATCCCTTTCGGGAATCGTTTTTCTATAAACATTTCAATTGATTTCGCCATCCCGAGTATTAGATTTCGTCATCCAAAGAGAGAACTGTAAAAGGCCTAAAGTGCAGGATCTGCAGAAAGCCGGGAGTGAGATTGTTTATGAGAAGCCGGGTGTGGGCAAACATTGGTTTTCCATTTAGGCGAGTGTCAAAGATTGGGATTGCGGCGGGGGCGCTTGAGATTGTACATCTTAGAAATCAATTAGGCGGAGGCCCAAGATTGAAATTGTTTTCGTTTTGGAAAGCCAAAGATTGTTTACAACTCGTATAAGAGCTCAATGGAATTGGGTACGTTAACTTGTATGTATGAATGAATATCTATATGTAAGTCATTTTAATTGTTTCCATTGCTATTTCTATAACTCTATTTGGGCTTCTATTCCATTTGGGCATTCATTCCATTCCTTTTCCTTTCTGTTTCCTTTCCCTTCCGCTCATCCTGTTATCCTGTCCCGCTTCTGGCCCTCTCTGGCTGGCTGGTCTCTAGACAAAAAGGCTGCTTCGGCTGAGGTTTGGCTTCGAGGAGGAGGAGCAGCGCTACTTTTACACTGTTCCACCTGTAGATTGTAGTTCTTTGTAGTTTGTAGCTTGAAGTTTGTAGTTTGTTGTTTGTAGTTTTTGTAGTTTTGTGTTGCTTATGCTGAAAGACACAATTAATTAGTTTTAAAACAAAAAATTAGTTCATTTGCATAATTTGCAATCTCTCGTTCTGCAGCGGCTACTTCTTCCGATCCGAACCGATCACCGATCAGCCTTCACTGAGGTCTCGTTTCAAATATCTACTTCCTACTCGGGTTTCTTGACCTCCTCCGCTAGCCGCAGACTCGTATCATATTCAAATATTCAAATGTTCACATATTCAAATTCACAGCTCGCATCGACTCGAATCGAATCGTAGCGAATCACTCACAAAAACTAATCACCGAATCTCAGACTCTTGGAGTTCATGACTTTTGAGTCTATTATTAGTTTTTATCTCTGCTATTTCCCTGCTATTTTTGGGCACGTGAAGACCTGTGTCAAGGTCGTCTGGGTGGGGGCTTCAAAGTTAATAGAACGGAAAAATCATGCAAGTAAAAGCGTGGGTGGGGAAATGTGTGGAAATGGTTTTCAACAGAATTTACATTCGGATTGAGGTTTTTCTTCCAGAAAATGGCATTTCTTGTAAGCTATTCATGGGATCAATCTGATTGGGTTGCTCCCTCCCCCCTCCTCAGCACTTCAGGAGCATAGAACCCATTGGAGGAAGGTGGAAGGAAGGACTCTTCCATAAAGATGTTCCCCTTTGGGTCTGTTGCTGCTGCTGCAAGCATATTGGCATGTAAAAAGGCTTATAGATTTTTCGCCTTATCAGCCCTCTCCAGCACATGCTCCCCCACCTCCACCTCCCCCTCCCCCTCTCTCCCTGTCTCTTTCTGTGGCAGTGGGGCAGCAGCTTATGACGTAAGCGAGCCACAGCAGCGTGCTATATTAAATCTCTTGCACAAAACACAGCCACAGATACAGCCACAGATACACACACTCACACTTGTGCAGATATAAAACAAAAAGAATAACAAGATAAAAAAAAGTTGGTTGTATTTTCAGGCGGCATTTTATCGCTGAAACAAAAAGCGTCACTGACTCCCCAGCCACCTCGTGTCGCTGCACCCACGCCAAGGTGTAGCCATAAAGATACAGGTACAGATACATTTTGTATACAATAGATACAAACAAACAAATATCTGAAATTGGAGAGCTGCAATATATAGCATTACACACAGTCGTCACTCTCGAGTATCCCTCTGTCTGCGGAGTTGTGGCATTGAATTTGCAAGAGATCTCTGGCTTTGTCTCTGGCTCTGGCTCTTGTCTCGCATTACATAAAGCCAACAAAAAGTACAAATTATGGGCTTAAGGGAGGGCTAATGGACTGCTGGCTAATGGCTAATGGGAGGAGGCATTACGTGAGGCCAAAAGCACAGACTTTCACTTGTCCAGAGATCGAACAGAGAGTGGCCTTGAAGTGACTGGCCCTTCACACAGCCACCCACCCACAAGACAAGACAAAAAGAGTTTTTTCAGAGACCAGAGAGACTTTACAAAGGTGGTAGGTACTTCCTCACGTTTGCTTCTTTGTGTCTTTGGCTTTTATGGGAATCTCAAATAAAGAAACGTCGTTTTAGAGGCTGGAATAATAGGAATAGTGGCTTCCAAGTCTGGCAACATATTTGACCTACAGGCAATGACAAAGAGAACAATCCAAATACTACGTATAAAATATATTCACAAGATATTTCCAACAAAAAACAACGGATACTTAAATCATATGAAATAAAATTAATTTATATACATAAGAAAAAGATATTCATTCTTTCCTTCATCACCTCCAACCCCCCCAAGGCCTGCCAAAATTCAAGACGAAAAACATTTCAATAAATCAACAAAAAGCCAGAGGACCACTGCCACTGGCACTGAGAGTGGACAAGACTGAAAATATCTTTAGATATACATACACGATCTATAAATGAAACATATACATACATATATATGTATAGGGAGGGGGGTAAATATGATGAAAATGAGTTGATTGTTCAAGCAGATGTTCCTTCGCCTCGAAAAGTGCACTTTTTTGATCGAAAAAAACGCCAATAAAAGCTGCGAGTGCAGTGGGACACACCCTACCCTTCGGGTTACCCTGAGATTTCCACAAAAAATAAATAAATACATATGTATATTTTGGTAGGTTATATAATTTATACAGAAAACATCGATAACCGCAAACGAGGAGCCGCCCACCCACTCACTCATGCAAATGACATACGAAACACGATTTTATTCCATTTATTTATAGGCCAACCTTTTATATTCGCTTTAAGCCCCTTCGCTTAATCCCCTTCAGTCAGTCAGTCCGTCATTCCCTCCGTTTATTTGTGAGTTTGTCAAGGAGTCAGCCCTGGTCGGTAATTAAACAATTTTTAAAATGCAGTTTGTGCCGTGTATCCATCAAATATTCAGGAGGAGGCCCAGGCCCAACCCCAGAGATTTCCCACAGATGGACAGGGGACAGGGGTAAGGGAGAACCTGTGCGAAGCGAGCACCTGCTGTGTCCAGTGCCTCTTTTCTCTTCAACTTTTCAGTCGTTTGGCCTTTTATAAAATTCACAAGGGAGAGAAAGAGGGGTAGAAGTGCCACAGAAAGACAGAGAGAACCATGTCAAATGTCTGTGGAGCCTCCCAGCTCCCTGCCACCCACCTGCTGCTGTCATCGCCAGCTGCTTAACTCTGTCTCAAAGGCGGAGACAGGGTCTAAGTCCACGCATATCATATCGTATCGTATCGCATGCTACGTGTCATATCTCAGGGCATGCCAGAGACTCAGATAAGAACATGGTGAAACGGAAAGCTAATGAAAGGGGATTCAAGGGAATGAGGAAACACTTGTCACCAGAGAAGCTCTCCAAGACAGCAGGAATCGGAATAGTAGAAAAGTGGAAAAGTTTCCATGCAACATTTTTTATTGATTTGAAATTGCAAGAAGAAAAAAGTATCTTCAATAAAAATTCCATTCAAACTCTTTCAACTGAACAGCATTCAATGTTGGCCCTCCCCTCCCCTCTCCGCCCTTCTGGCCACCCATCAATCCATCCGTCCCCCCATCTGCCCTTTCGCTTCACTGACTTTGGCAGCAGCTTCCTCTCCGGACTTCTGTCCGATGGTCAATCAGTCGATTGCCCCTTGTCGGCCCTCCCTTCCCCTCCCTCGTTCGAGGGTTCAATAAACGTAAAAACAGAAAAGAGATCTGCAATTTGCAATTCACTTTCGGCTTGCGATGCTTTGTTGTCACTCGTCTCTCCTTTTCTCTGCTCGCAATGTTCCCAGCCCTCTGTTCTCACACTCATCTCCCATTCTTTGAACTTTCAACTTTGTTTAAGGCGAAAACAAGCGCCAGAAATGCTGTTCCGACCAGAGCAATACTCATTAATTAGCATACCCTCGAATGGGGGATCGGGGATCGGGAATCCATCGATGGAGCAGCTCTCGACCGACTCTCGCTCGTAAATCAAAGTGTGGAAAACTTTTTGGGGCAATAATCGTAGTTGGGGCGATGCGGTGCGCCGTATCTAATGTCAATAAACTTTTTGGCTTTGAAATCAAATCAATTTTCATGCCAAACGAAAGCGCAGACAACACGTTGGAGGAGCATGGGGCATGGGGCACGGGGCACGGGGCATGGGGCACGGGACACGGCACTGGGGGATGACAACGCACAAGAGAAAAGCAAAAGAGAAAATCGATACGGAGGCCCTCAAGGCAAATCAATTAAAGAAATTTTATATGCATAAAATACGTTTTCCATTTCATATTTTCTCTCGTTTTCCGCAGAACTGAAAAGAGAGAAAATGTCAAACAAAATGAACAGGAAACGGAAACAAGAGACGAGGAGAAACTGAGGGCTTGGGAGGGCCAAGCGACAAGAGCGGAGAAGCGCAAATTAAAAGCAAATTTCAATTTTTGCAATGACATTGTCATTGTTGTAGTTGCTGTTGCTACCGTTTCCCCCGCAGCTGCCGCATGCCGCATGCCCCGCTTTTTGTTGTAACAGAATTAACTACGAAAGTAATTAAAGACCAGGGGCAAGGCAAGGCAAGGCATGGCATGGCAAGGCATGGCATGGCAAGACAGAGTAGGACTCAGGCCAGGACCCACACTTTGGGGCAGGATTGGGTTGGGTCTGGGGTCAACTGTGGTGCCCGCAGGCGGCAGCAGCAGCAGCAGGCAGGAGGAGGCTTTAAGAGGATGAGGGGTGGCATGGACAGGAGGACAGGAGACTCGAGTTGTCTTGCGCGCGCACGAAGCCAATTAACATTACACACAAACGCACCTACAGGCCCCGCGAGGGCAGATCGAGGAGTACTCCGTTCCGTTCATAGTTCATTTCAACACGAAAACCACTCTTCAAGTGTACACAACACATTTGTGGGCCTTGAGATTCGTAAATTCTCCCAATTGTCGGAGAGATGAGTCTTCGAGCAGCCCTCCATCTCGTGCCGTGCCGCCCACACAGCCACAGGGCACACTGGCTAAGGAAGCCACTGAGGAGGATAATGGGTGGACTGATGGACCCAAGAGGGGCAGGCAGCAGGGGGACGAATGGTTGGATGGATGGTATATGGGGGCTTACACGCAACAGCGCCGCCGGCGACATGGCGCACAATTTGTGCGCTGCAATAAAATGAAATTAAAATTTGAAACAACTACAGAAGCAACAAGAAATATTCCAGGAGAAGGGAGTGGAGTGCACTGCGTGAGTGTGCGTTGGAGTGCGGCATCTGTGTGTGTGTGTGTGTTTGTGTGGGTGTAGGGATGTATGGATGTATGGGGAATCCATGGACTATGTGGATGAACACACAGCTGAGAAGCTTAAGCGCCTTCATCCATCGTCATCATTCTTATTTCTCTCCCTCATCGCATTATTATTTCTGTTATTTTTTCGCTCTCTCCCTCCTCTCCCCCCTCACTCCCTCTCTGATTTTATGATAAGACAGTAATTACATTTATCTGCTGCTGGCAGCAACGAATAAAAATTCACTCTACATCGAGCGAGCAGCAGCGACCCACATGGCGTATGCGAGATATATGCAAAAACATGTTGCGCATA